CCTCGAGTGACAAATCACCCCCACCCTGCCTGCTTTGAGTAATTCCACTCCTGCACTGTTCATATTTTTATTCCTCTCTCTCTGCCCAGCAGAAATCGATTACAGAGATAATTTTTGGTCTCATCCCTTGCTGTGATTTTCCAGGCCTTGGGAAGGCAGCAGAAGGTTTTTCACTGGCTCACCTGCAGCCCTGGTGTGTGTTTTTCAAGGCAGTGCATTGGGGTTAACAGGCAGTTTATCCCAAATATCCTGGTGGAAATTATTTATGTAAAGTGTATATTTCAGTTTTGGGTACCTGTCTAAAGAAATACAAAATTCATGACCACAGCAATGCCATGGTATAGGAAATTTTGGGGTGTAGGGTGGTGGGATGAAGGTTTGTTCACTCACAGATGTGAGTTAGGGGCTGGTGGTGAAGGTTGTTTGGTTTTGCTGTTGTTTGTAGTTTTTTTTCTTTTTAAAGAAACAAATTGGTGTTACTCTGTTTTCTCCAGCAGTTCTCATTACCAACATAGCTATTACAACATGCTGAGGCTGTTATTTGCCCTCAAGAGCTGAGAGAGTGGAATTTCCCATCTTTTTAATAATGTGACTTTTACCAGGGCGAGTGGGCTGTGAATTAGTGCTTCATTATGGGCTGACATCAAACAGAATCCCCACTGCAGAATTACCCACTCAAGAAAACAGCTTAGGTTTGGTTGTCTGACTCATTTAGGCACTTGAACATCCTACCAACACAGAATTATACCTAAAGTATATTTAACAAGTTCTGCTCCTTTGAATAACAGTGGGTCTGATGCAGCAATGCAATAAATATTTTCATGGCTATTAAGGGACAATTACGTTTGTAGAGTTTAAATCCTTGCTCTGCAGTTTTCAAAACATGGTAGAATTGCTGATAAACATGTGTTGACAATAAAGAGCAATTGATACAAGCTTGATACAATGAGATGCTTGGGTGTTGCTGGACTTGGAGTTGGAAATCTGAATTAAAAAAAAAAAATAGATGGAAAAACTGAACCCTGCTCCTCTCAGTGAATGTGTTCTGTGCGTTACTTAAAAAAATAAATAGGATTTGGTGTAAGTTCTAGCAGTGCCTGCAAATCATACAAAGTCCCTGTGTACAGAATTGGTGTCTGGGGGGGTGAAATATCACAGAGGTTTCTTGACAAAATACAACATAACTCAGCATTGCCACACGCCAGCAGCTGTGTGTGTGGAGCAGCTTTGTCATCAGAAACGCTGTGAATTTTTCATGGCCCGATGTTCTGTGTCTTTTCAAAGCAAGGCTCTGGTGTTTGATGTGATCTTGCCCCATCCCTTCTTGATTACACGAGATCACACAACAGCAACATCTGGAGGTGCTCGCAGTGACTTTGCTCTGCAGATGACTTCTGATTTATTCTTTTATAAAAACGTCACTGTTTTCAGGCTCGTTTACCTTACAGACACGCTCCAGGTCGTGTTTTCCCCTGATGAATCCACAAGTCCGTGTCTTTTAATTGTCCTGAGAATCACAGGAGCGTTCAGGTGCAGCTGTTACAGGTTTGATGCTCACGTTTCTGTCACTCCACAATTCGGAATCTTTCTCAGCGACTTTGTCTCAATGCTTGAGACTGAAAACTTGGCTTATTCAACAAAAGGAGAGAACCCAGTGGAATATGCAGTTTTCACATCCTTTTTGTACGGGCAGGAACTCGTTTTGCTGTTCACATTTTGGGCAAAATCAAAGACTTTTCAGCAAAGCTGAATTTTGGGTTTTTTTCTCTGTTTTATGGCAATGGTGTGTGCATTTCACTTGGTACAACTTTATGGACTTGGTACTAAAGCAATGAGGCAAATGCATGTATTAGCAGGGGAAAGGAGAAGAAAATGCTGTTTCAGGAGTCAGAAAGCCTCAGTTGCTAATTTTAAACTTCCTTCTATATGGCAAACTATAAACAGGCAATAAAAGCATTTAATTTGCAAATTACACTTCTAGCTGGTTTTATGTTGGATTTTTTTTCCCTTGTAGTCAGGATTTTTGTAACATTTTTACCAAAAAATTTTCATTGGCACGATTAGAGCCTTTGCCTGGTAGGGTTAAGTAATTAAATTGTTAATTTTTTCCATGAATAGTTGCATTTCAGATGAAAGGAGATTAAAAGTGAGGTGTAATAAATGCAAAGAAGAAGTGAAAAGATTAAGGCAAGAGAAACTAATAAAAGCATTTCAGTTTGGTGACCAGATTGAGAGAGTTTTAAAAATCTGTTGATGAATAAACCAGCCCTTAGTCCAGCAGATAAAATGCAGAAATACTTCATGTGTTTCTGGCCTATTCTTTCACTGAACAATGAGATATTGTCATCCTATGGCTGATGAAAAGAGAGTCCTGTTCTGACTCACCTCTCCTCAAAACCACCTTCTGTCCTGATCTCTGTTCTTTGTTTGCAGTTCTATTTTATCTACTGAGACATTTCAGTAGGATAAGAGCCTCTGATTTCAGGGATACAGCTCAATCTATAAAAATAAACAAGCTTTGCCATTATTAGTCCACCTTTTAAGGTATTTTATTTACCCTGAGGACTGAATGTCCCTTCCCAATGAGTTCATGTAATAATAAGTTTTGTTAGGAGACACAGCTCTCCTCCCTGGTGTTATTGTGCTTGGGATAGCAGCTTTATTAAAAAATCAAACAAAAACCTAACAAAGCAGCTCAAGGATAAACAATCACTCTTGATACACTTCCAAACATGCCTGGATTTGACCTTCAGTCCTCTGAACCTGCTGCAGAAACACCTGAAAATGAGAGCAGCATCGTGTTGAGCAGCAGCCAGTGCCCTCCGAGGTCAGAGACTGGGAATTTGCTGTGTAATGCTGGTAAAGAGCCCTGCTCCTGTTCTGCATGTTGCATTTTTCATTATACTCAAAGCCTTGCCCCACAAGAGAATGCAGGAGTTTGCAGAGAAATGAAGGAATGGTATTTTGGCAGCTGTGAGGTGAGTCTGGTACCTGAGCTGCTCTGCAAGGTGGGATGGGGAACTTCCTGCTCATTTGTGGGGAATTATTCTTTTATTGTAGCATGGCTCATATTCTCCATTTTTGGATGGATAGGTGTTGCTTCTTGTTTCCCCAGAAACTGGTTTTCTGTGGCAACAGTCTTCACCTGCCATTAGTGATGAATAATTCCAATTTTTACAACATTGCAGCAGCTCAAAGTGCAGAGCTGTGGTGGGTCCTGTGGGGGTCCCTCTGGGATAATTGACTTCCCAATCCTCCATGTCCCACATCCCTTCCCAAGGTGCTCCCAGCCCAATCCCATCCTGCCTTTATGAGTTGTTGGACAACACAAAGACAAGGAGAGTTCTGAAGGTCTGTAGTTGCAATAAATGAACACATGGGCTTAAAAATCCATTTCAGTTATGGAAATTGTATTATTTAAGATTTGTGACTTGTGATGGTTGTGATGTAAGAGGGAAAAATGTGGTCTAAATTAATTGTTATGTAAAATACTAATTCTTTTGGTGTGATTCATCCTGATACAGAGCAGTGTGTGTTCTCTGAGGTGCTGTCAGCTCCTGGTTCTTCCTTCCGTGGCTCTGGGCAATGGTGTTGGGGCAGGTGATGGATGTATAATGTTATGGGGGAAAGAGCAAGATGCATGAAAGGCCTGAAACAATAATTTAAGGCTGTTCTGTTTTGATCCCTGAGTGAAATCAGTTTGGCTGGGGTTGTGTGTGACATCTACATCATGTCCAGCAAAAGGACCTGAGTTTATTCTGAGGATACCTGCGTGGAAATTCACTTGGGAAGTTGAAAACAGCCCTTCTGAGAAACATTCCTGTGAACTTTATGGGCACTAACAAAGGACTGTACAACACTGTCTTACTGCAGCATTTTTTAAAGGAAGTATTGAAATTCTAATCGCTCTTATTCAGTGTTCTCACTGTAACAGCTGTTGCTTTGCAGTAATAAAAACCATTATATTTTGGGGAAATAGCTACTGTTGGTCAACTCACTGCTCCTATTATGCTTGGTTATAAAGACAGCCTTATTTAAAGACTGTGTTACTTTAGTATCCTATACAAGGTTATAAACAATTTTTTTTAATTGTCTTTTGTTCTGTTATGGAAAAATATACGGTTTATTTATGGAAAAGCCTTTGTCAGTGTAGGACTTCAACTTGGTTTGTATTACATGTTGTCTTTCACTTAGTTTAAGGATATAATGAGGCCCAACTTTCTTGGGTCTTGACTCACCAGGTAGAGGGAAAGCCAATATAAATTCATGATAAAATATTTACATTTATGGAAACTGAAGCATTTGCTTCCCCCCAAGAAGTGATGGACAATGCCATGTGTGATTTTTGGGGTGTCCTGTGCAAGGCCAGGAGATGGACTCAATAATCCTTGTGGATCCCTTATCCCTCGGGGTGTCCTGTGATCCTGACACAGCCTAAAATAATCCCAGAGAGCCGAGGCCAGTCAGAGCAGAGCACTGGGTCAGCACTCCGAGGTGCAAAGCTCTGCCTTAGTGATGCTCCAGGGGATTCTCCTGCAGGGATATGGTCCAGGAGGTTCCTTTCTCTTGGGAAAGATCCATATCTGTTTCCTGAATCGCTGTTAGTAATGTTATTTTACATTGGACAGGGGAGCTTAGTAGGATCTCAATGCTTTGTTCATCATAGCCTTTATTTGCAAAGAAGCAGTGGCTTAAAGACCTGTTCTTAAATCATTGGCTCCATTTTGGTTATCAAAGTCAGAAGCCAGGCATAAGAACAAAATTAGCCACAGGATCTGCTGAATTACCTCACTGCAGAATTAATTCCCTTCATCCCTAATTCTGTCACCCTCCCTTGTGCCCAGCAGCCTCTTCTGCACTGAATGTGCCGGGCTCAGCTGATGGGAGGTCAGGATTTCAGAGGGTCTGCTGGGTTTCTGCTGTCCCTTGGTGTCTCCTGACATGGTGCTGGCTGGTGTTGCTGATTTCTCGTGTCTGACACCCCTGTGTTCCCCTGGCAGATGTGGAGAGCTCCAGGACGAAGATGAGGAGCGCGGTGTCGGTGCGGGAGGGCCAGGGGGTCGTGCTGCTCTGTGGGACCCCGCCCCGGGCAGGAGGTAAGGGGGTCAGGGAAGGGGGTCCTGGGGGCTGCTGGGGCCGGGCAACATCCCTGGAAATGCTAAAAGGCAGAGTGACAACAGAATCTGGGTTCTGAAGTAAATGGAGGGGGAAAGGTAAAAACAAAGGAGGGAGGAGGGAAGCGTTTAAAGAGGATTTACTTCTATCTGGAAATGCCTTTCTGGTTCCTAGTAATTTCTGTGCACTTAATGTGTCTGATTTTTATGGGATTTCCTGTAATTAATGGAGTATCTGCTGGAGTTACATTCTGCCCAATTTCACAATTGCTGAGCCTCGATGAATCCAGCTTTCCCTGTGAGCAGAGAATTGCAGAGATGCTTGTCTTTGACACTGCTGGGGTCTGCCTGTGTTCTTGCAATCAAGACATTCTTTGGTGGGATGGAATGGTGCTGTGTAATTGAAACCACTGCTGCACTCAGGGGGTGAGAAAAGTGGATATATGGATTCTTGGTGGACCAAAAGTTGCAAGTACATTTCATCCCTCATTCTGCATCTTCAGTCTTTGACTAATTGCTATTGAGCCTCAAGTAATATCTGAAAGGAACTGGTTTTATTGTTTTTAATTGATATAATGTCATTATTGAAGGGCTGTGATGTTAAACATTAGATTTGATTGCAAAGACAAGGTAATAGAAGCTAGACATTATATTCAATAATATGGGCGTTGTGGCCTCATAAATTTGGCAGAGTCCAAGCAGACACAGCCATAAAGTGGCAATTTTACAACTGTCTGAGCTTGCAGAATTTTTTCCCCTCTAAACTGATACATACTCTTAAATCATCTTTATAGCCTTAAAACAGCTTTGTCTTTCAGCAGCTGAGAAAACGGGTCATTCTCCCAGCTATCTATTAGAATTAGAATGATTAAATTTTCCTTCTAGATGCAGTCCAAAGTCTGGACTGCCCCAGCTGTTCCTACAGCTGTGTCCTGTGTGTGGGTTTACACCCAGAGGTGATGGCCAAGCTGAGGCAGCGCTGCTGGCAAGGTTTGGGTTTGAGGTGTGGAGCAGGAGGTGATGCCAGACGTGCTCATGGTGTGCTGGGAAGAGTGGTTGGAAGAGGTGAGAATTCCCCTTGCAGCCAGCAGTTGGGAGATGATTGACACCCTCACACTAATTGTGGTAGTCATGAAAAAAAAACAGAGCTGAGTGCTCCCAGAATTACCAGATGGGGCTGAGAACTGGTACCAGAATTATTTCAGATCCTTGAATCTGGCTGTGAGTTGGAGGATTAACTCTTAGGGTTTTTAGGAGACATGGAGCAAGGTGGAAAAAAATCCTTCCCCTCTTTTCACTGAAATAAAGCTTAAACACTCAGTGCCCCTGGCAGGGTGGGATGCAGGGCAGGAAGTCTGGGATGGAACATCCAGCCAGGAAGCAGAAGTGGTTTGGTAGGAAGAAAGAGCAGGGATGGTTTAGGACCAGCTGACCTGGCCTGAGGGGAGTTCAGCCCTTTGCAGGTCAGTGATCTGACTTTTTTTTTTTTTATTTTACTTTGAGTCTGTATTTATTGCACTGAGCTATCAAAGAATTCCACACCATAGTAATTCTAAAAACCTTCTCCACCAGCTTGTTTCCTCTCCCCCTGTAGCCCCCAAAATACTCTGCTTTTGTTTTCTGGCGTGTTGTGCAGTTTCTGAGATCTTGCTAACTTAATTGCACTTATTTCTTGCATTCTCTGTAAGGAGTTTGCAAGAAGAGACTTGATTAAATAGTGATTATTCCTCCATGTACAGCATCCCAGTTACAATAGAAACCAATGTTCATCCCCAGCTCATAGTATGGGAAAAGAAAATTATGGGAAAAGAAAATTGCTTCTCTTCTACAATTTATCACATTTTTTTTCCTTGCTTATCTTAGGCACAGATATTTACATGAGTCATATGAATGTCCCTTTTCAATGGGGAGCAAATTATTCCTGCAGTTAGCAGTGGTTTTGTCCTTTTGAGTGTGCAGTTCCAGCTCCACTGGGGTGTGGACATCCAGCCTTAAACCAACAGTGAAACTCCATTTACCAATCACAGACCACTCCAATACTTTCCTGAGAGCTACAACATTTCCCCTTTCTGGAAATTAAATAAAATTCCTTTTTCTAGCAGCTTTGTTTGGGATTTACTGAGTGGAAGATTTGGTAAATGACTGGCTTTGAGTGTGAAGACCTTTCCCCCAAAAAATATTTTCCTGATCCAGGCTGATTTTATGTGAAATGCTCTAAGTTGTATCATAACTAATCAGTGATGTTTGGATAATTAAGATTGTCATCTGTCATTGTTCTGCATGGTCATACTGCTGGATCTTGGAATTCTGTTGCAGGGAACCTGTTAAAATACCCCCTTTTTTGCCACCAAAAATCAGTAAATCATCTCACCCAAAGGTGAGATAACATAAAAAATGGATTTGTGTAGCTCTCCTGCTATTTTTCCAGTTGTTACAACCTTTAAATTGCACTGGAATCTCTACAGCTATTTTGACTTTTTACTGTGTTACTGTTCTGACTTGAATGATTTTAAGGGGCTGTCAATCCAACAAACATCTCAATATCCCAAACTTGATGTTGGACACAGTTAATGTGCAGCTGGTTAAGAAACATTCATGTGATGCTAATTTTTGCCCATTCTGCCAAGAATGAGAAAAGCTAGACATATGGAGATCTAAAAATGATTTTTCTCTGCTATTGATTTTGTTCCAAAATTGGTATCTAACGAGTGACAAAGCCCTCAGTAAAGCAAATCTGAGTTCCTGTAGGGTTTTACCTCCTGTTACTACTGTACTGAATTGTGATTATTGTGTAGCTTGTCTTCAGCTGTTATTGCTGTTCCTATATACTCTGATTTATATTTGTTTAGTACAGTTTTCCTCATCTGACATTGATTTTGGATTTATGAGGTATTTCTGCTCTTTGAGAGAGGAGGAAGCAATGAGGCATAGTCCTTTTGTGTTGTCTGGGGTGGTGTAAAGCTGCTTTATACACAGAGAAAAAGATGATTTTTAATGGTAGAAGTGAAGATTTGCTTGATGGTTATTTGAATGTTTCAACAAATTTTAGTTATAGTTTTAAATATTAGTTTTACAGTGGTGTACTTCCTGCTGCATTATTCCTATGGGCAATAGGACCATAACCCAGGAGAACTTAAATAAATAACAAGAATTTTGTGGAGCTGATGAGCTGTTGCTTGGAAATTGCAAGGAAATTCTGCTTTATTCCTAATAAAGAGCCTTGTGTGCTCTGTGTTCCTATTTCCTGCAGTATGGCAGGGATGTTCCTGCATGGATAAAGCAGCAAGGATGTTTGTCCTCCCTCTTCATATAACTCCCTGATAAATGTAGGTTTAATCCATAAATGAGGCTGGATCTGAAGGGCAGGGATCAATTCAGCTCACAGCATATTGTGTCAGAGTTGTGACATGCTGATAGGAAATAATATTAGATCATGGAAAAATAGATCCCAATTTATTGCTCAGTGTTTGCTGTGACAAATCCTTCACTGAATAATGGCATGTCTGTTCCAAACGAGTGTTTAGACTTGCAAATTTCTGCTCGTGTCTCTCTTGTATTGCCATTTGGAGACCTGCAAGTTCCAGCAGGGCTCTGCTTCGTGGACAGCATGGCATGGCAAGAGTCTCAGATGCCAGAAATATTTGGATGCTTTGATTGCTTCTCTTCTGCAGCTCTTGAACAGCAACGTGCTGTTTTTCAGGGAACTCTAAGTTGAATTAATTTTACGTATTTGGGTTTTGGAAACATTTTGTTTACCTTTAAAGCAAAGCAAAGGTAAATAGGTACAACTCCAGGATATTATTTCCTTCCTGCTGCACATCAGTGATTTGTGGGAAGGCTTGGGTTGGAAGAGACCTTAAAGATCTGATTCCACCCCAGCCATGGCAGGGACACCTCCCACTGTCCCAGGCTGCTCCAAATCCCAATGTCCAGCCTGGCCTTGGGCACTGCCAGGGATCCAGGGGCAGCCACAGCTGTGCCAGGGCCTCAGAACCGTCCCAGGCAAGGATTTCTCCCTAATATCCCATCTAAAATCCCCTTTCACCATCCTGGTTTTGCACATTTGCTTTCACTGCAGTCTATGGATGACACACGTCTGGCCACCAGCAATAAATCACACTTGCAGCTTCTTGCACAAAAATGTATTTTAAGGAGAGTGGTACCTTGAATATTGTAAGGGCACTCTCCTTAAAAACAGCTCCATAGTGTTCCTGTGCTGTTTCAACCTGCCAAGGAGAAATGGCATTTTTATTTAAAAACATATTTTTCAATAGTCCTGCTGGTGTCGTCATCATCATCTGCACAAATTTCAGCTGACAGTTTGAAATCAAATGGTACCTGAGAGACGCCTCTGTTTGTCCATGTGAAGGGAAATAATACACGTGCTCAGCTGCATCTTCCAGTGATTTCTGTCTGCCAGGGCATTATTTTCACCACCAGGACCAAAGCAGTGCTGCAGAGACACTTGCTATGCACTTTGTCAAATGCACTCTTCCTGAAGCACTTTTTCCTTTTGATAAACCTGTGTTTATGTGGCTGAGGTAATCCAGGCTGAAATTAATATATCTTATTATATATCTGTGCACCATCTTCAGTTGCTTTATAATGCCTATTTTTAAGCTGACACAGAGATGGATAAGTGACCTAAGAAGATTTTAGCAGTTTCTTATCCCAAAATCTTACAAAACTCTTTAACCCCATGTTCCATTGTGGGGTATCTCTTGGAAAAATGGGGTGGATGGAAAGAAAAAGGGAGAAGCAGATCAGGAAAAAAGAAACTGCAAGACAAAAAATTCAGGTTGAAACTTACCCAGTCCCAAGTATCTCAGTTATGCCTTAGGGAAAAGAGGAGAAAATTTGGAGACAATAAATGCATTTGGCTCTCCACAAAGTTTATTTTTATCCCTAAATTGTGACTGTGGGGTATTTCTCCTCCAGCTCTTTATTTTCTTCTCTACTAAAATATTTGGATTTTTCTGGGG